TAGCTTTATGTTCAGATATTAAAGGGCAGTTTAATAAGGAGGCACCAAAGGACTGGGGGCAGAGGACTGTGATGCATTTGGGGGAACACCATAAAAGCTTTCTGGACCCTATAAGCATCTGACCTGGATTTTTGGATTGAATTTCCAAGTACTAATCTTAAAATGAGGATTATATATATATTTTTTCCTATTCATTTTGCCTAAGGCACTTGGCCTAAAGACCGTAATGAAGAACTACTGAAAGTAGCTGAATGAGAATGTAGGTCAGGTGCTTTGGGAGATTTCATATATATATACATCACATTATGTTTATATATGGAGAGAACACATATATGCATATTTATATACTTATATATATAAATATATCATACTTGATGTTATAGGTTAATTCTCTTTATATAGAGAGAGCTAACCATTGACTCTTGTGACGACATTAGACATAATTTAAACAAATAGTATTTCTAGGATTTGTGCTAATTGATGAAGGGAGTGGGGAGTAGGGAAGGAGAAAGAAGGAAATGAATAGCTGGTTAGTTTTACAGCAACTTACAGGTAAAAGCCACAGCTGAGCTCATTTGCATGGTCCTCTGCGCAGCCCCAAATCCATCCCAGCAAAACCAACCTCAGAGCAATGCAACCCAAACATCCAACGGCCTTCCTGATGTCACTGGATGCCACGTTTCCTGTCATCACATTCCACATTCTTTTCTGTTGCTAGGTACCCTGGGCACTCTTAATTTCCAGAGCTCCAGGTGCCGTTTTCTCCTTGGTCCTCAAACACAGAGTTCTTAGTTCCAGTGCTATGGTACCCAGGCTGAAACTTGAGAGAAGCACCAGCGTTCTGGGCGTGCGAACCTAAAGGCCATACCTACAGATCACAACACTGTACCCTTTGTATAGCAGCTCGCTACCCACACACCAGCAGCCACTTAGGATGGAGCAAATGATCTTGGGTAAGGAAGCAGATTTCCCCTTTGAAGCAATAAGCAGGTATGAGTTGGTTATCATAAACAGGAGTCTGAGATGGGTGGTTTCAAATTCTGAAAAAGTATCTCTAAGGAAGAGGAAATAAAAATCATTAACAGGGTTGCGAGAAACCAGACAATAAAAAACGGTTCATTTAGCTTCAGTTTAATGTCTGCTCACTCTTGATTTCTGTGTTTTTCTAATATAGACCTCAAAAACTCTGTTTTAAATTTTGATTTATAAAATAGTGGCATGTGACATTACTGGTTCTTTTACCAATTAAATGATAAAATGTGTGAATATATAAATTTCATACAAATGAGTAAATCATTCATTTGTTCTTGAGAAAACATACTGATTTACTCACGAATGAAATATGGAAAGCTGTAGAATTTAGTTACCTTGGTAACATCTGGAGTGAACTACTCTGTCTAAAAATACTTTCTCCTTTATTATTTATACTTTATACCAAAATTATAAATACATGACTTTTATTAAATATTCTCCTGATAGATCATAATGTTTATCTTATTTAAAATGTGAGTAAATGGTATGATAGTTACGAAATATGTATGACGATTTCAGGCTAAAGACACAGTGTACTATTTTAAAATTTTAGCTATGATAGACATTGGTTTTGTTTCATGCTAGCATAGATTTGTTTTGTTTTGTTTTTAAAAGATTATTTATTTATTTATTTGAGAGAGAGAGAGAGAGAATGAGCAAGAGAGCACAAACGGGGAGGAACGGAGGGAGAGGGAGAAGCAGGTTTCTTCTGTTTGAGCAGGGAGCCTGACAGAGACCTGGGGCCCCATCTCAGGACCCTGAGATCATGACCTGAGCCAAGGTAGATGCTTAACTGACTGAACCATGCAGGCACTCATAGATTAGGTTTTAAAATGTAATATACCTTCAGAGTTATTCACTCTTTCAACATATTGATAAAATTTTTTTACATAAAATGTTTAGCATTTTTTAAGGGATTCTAGTACACAAATGTTAAATCACACTTTTCTTCATGAATTTGATGATTGGCCTAGAATATGTCCATTGTGCTTCTCTTTGGATTTCTGTGTTAAGAAATAACTTAAATAATCAGAAATGACCTTGCATACTTTAGCATTGGATCTGACTTCACATAAAGGACATGCGCAATTTTCTGAATTACTTAGATATATTATTCCCTGAATTCTTTATTTCAAAAACCTTATATATTTCATGATTAAAAGAATGTTTTTGATTTCTCAGTAACTATGGGAAATGCCATGTCATATTCTTTATGACTGATTTTCTCTAAATTCTGTTTGTTTTCTTTCTACATGAAGTCTTTTGTTGAATGGGGATGAAAAGGAGTAATTTATGAATAGAATCTTGCCATTTGTGTTATGCCCCAATAATGGGTCCGTGATTAAAGGAGTGAAACTGATACAAAGCGAAAGTCAAGCAAAGCTTTATTTTGCTCCAAGCATCAAGAATCAAACTGACAGGCCAGGGCCAAGCCTCTTACAGAGAGGGCGACCCTTCTCTGTTTCCCAGATTAGCTTTTAAGGGCAAAGGCCATGCAGTCGGGCCTGGCCACTCACAGGTGGCCAATGAGATTGTAACACACACAGGAAACTCCACAGTGATACTAGGTGACCAATTGAATTACAGTTTATCCTAATAGGCATTTGAACCAGCCTATCACACCTTGGTTAGGATTGGCACCAAAAAGGCTCCCAAAGGGCAGGGCCCATACTCCTTGGTAGCTAGGAAGACAGTATGCAACCCCCACCACTGATCGGATGTCTCCACCTGTCTGACCCACCCTTGTATCTGTGCTTTGTTACCTGGAGCTGGTTTCCCAGGCTTGTTTTTAAGTAAATCCCCTGGGGTGAAGGGGAGACGGGACAGTTTAAGGGTTAAACGAGGTTTTTGTTTAACTTTAATGAAAGCCTCTTGCTTAAATAGGTCCTTACAATTTGAATACATTTTAACTTTTTCACAAAATAGTTTTAAAATATTAAATTTTTAAAATTTAAGTTTTTAAAGTATTATTTTACTGAAAATTAAGCTTGGTGTCCTTTGTTTTCATTTTCCCTTGGAGCTGGAGATCTGGGCTTCCTCTTGGACCCACGTCTGTCCTACTCTCAGTCTTACCCGTTCTTTTCTTATGATGATTCGATCCCTGCCTGTTCTACACTACTGCTGTTTTGATTCAGGCTTTCAACAATGCTGATTCAGATGACTTCTAGAGCTCTTAATGGTTTCCCATTTTGTCACCTTTATCCCATTCTCCTCATCAGTCAGAGTAATCTCTTTAAAAAAATTTTTTTTTTCACATCATTTCTAACAATAAAATTGATCCTATTCACGCTCAAGGTCCAAGCCAAGCTCTTCATCCTCTGCCTCCCTATCTAGGTTTCCCTTTCTGATTCTATTTACAGTCAGCACCCCAACCTTATTTCTCATCCACCCTGTGCTTCCCTTCCTCAGAGATGTTGCACCTGCTGATATCCAAGTGTGGAATGATCTCCCCCAGCTTCTTCACTGGTTAAGTCTTACTCATCTTTTGAAATTCGGCTCATATGCCACCTTCTTTAGGAAAACTTCTGTGATGCCTTTACCGACCTTGTTTTGGATCAAAGCCTTTTTTCCTCTGCATTTTAGTTGCACGTTTTATTTTTCCCCCATCTCTTTTAGTTATTTGTGAACTCGCTGAAGGCAGAGACTCTGTTGGCCAAATTATTTAACTGCCTTTTGGCCTAATGTTGGTATTCAATAAATGTTGAATAAATAAATGAACAGGTGAGTTATATCACTCCTTCAGAATTTAAATATTATTTTCGGCATTAAATATTTCATTGCATCCTATAAAAATAAAGCAAACTTGAGAATGTTCAGAATCAAATATTACTTGGGCACACTCATATTTGTATCACTTGAAGAGCCCTTAACTAAAGGAAACAACACCTTTGTCCTTCATAATCCTTTGAAATTAATATAAAGATGAAATTAAGAGAAGTAGGATTTTTGTTGCATGTAAATTTTGTTTCTTACTCTAATTGTTATTGATGTGTATTTCTAAACAAGCTTATCATTTATTTTAAAGCCAGAAAATTTTGACTGATTTTGTTTCTTCCCTTTCTTCCCTGTTTAGCGTTTTATTTTTTATTCCTAGTTATTTTATTTTTTATTAGAAAATTATATATGTTGTAAATAATAAAGAGTATTTAAAAATACAGTGCCATTCCAGTTAAGAAGAAATTAATATCAATATTTTAGGCTACATTTTTTTACTCATCTTCCTCTATAAGGATATATGTTTTCTTTTCAGAAAATTGGTATCATTTGTCCATTTTTGAAGCTAGCTTTTTCCATTTAACACTTCACACTTCCCATTAATATTAATGGAAAAAGATTCCACATTTCCCATATTCTAATCATCCCAACATATATTAAGCCAGTTTTTTACTTTTGGTAATTTTTGTCACTTCTGAATATTTGCTATTGTAAACAACACTGGTATAAAAGCTTTTTTACCTGCACAGAAATGCATTCAATGATTATACTCCTTAAACTTAGAGGTCCCAGAAGTGTAATGACTAGAGCGGAAGGTGTGAGCACTTTTAATGTTTAGATGCATATTAAACACTCATAAAGCTTGAACCAACATACACCGCACTAGCAGAACAGACGTTACTTTTATCAGAGAATTTTCACCAAATCTGGATATTCTCACTAGAAAAACAAAAACTATCTACAAAATAATTAATGAGCTTCTCTTTGTTTCAATTTGCTTTTCTTCATGATTGCTTTTGAGATTGAACCGTTTTCCCTATTTTATCTTCTTATTATTTTACTTCACTTCTTTTGAATAAATGTGCCTACTAGATTACACATAACAATGGCTGCTTCACAAGTTTATTTGTAAAGATAAATTACACAGGATATGTAACGTTACCTCGATGCCAAGCACATAACAGGACCTCAGTGAATGTTGAAGTAGTAACTGAATGGCACATTAATTAAAATCGAACTATTCTTTCCAACAGATGATTCTGCTGCAGAGAGTTTTAATGGCAATGAGACTCTGGGGCACAGTTCAGTTGCTTCAGGGGGAACACACGGCAGGGAGATGGGTGACTCCAATGGTGATGGCAAAATTGGGCTGGAGCAGGAGGAACAGCCACTGAACTTGAGTGACAGCCCCCTCTCAGCACAGCTGACTTCGGAATACAGAATAGATGACCACAGCAGTAATGGAAAAAACAAATATAAGAACCTTCTAATCTCTGACCTCAAGATGGAGCGAGAGGCGAGAGAAAATGGAAGCAAGGTAAGGTCATGTTACAGTTTTCAGAATTTCTGAGTTTGTGATGAAGGTCATAAAGAAATACGTATTTATATGAAAGATGAAGCTTATTTTTGCTAAAAATATTTTAAACAAATCCCAATGATATGTTGCCAACTATAGATATCCTATGTCCAAATAAGCAATAATTTTCAGGAATAATAGTGAGCAAAATGGATAGTTTTTCCATTGTGTGTTGGTATGTGTGTTTTTTTTTAATTTAAATTAAATTAGCCAACATATCATTCATTTCGGATGTAGAGTTCAATAATTCATCAGTTGCATATAACATCCAGTGTTCATCACATCACATGTCCTCCTTAATTCCTATCACGTGTGTTTTTATACATGAAATCACTTGATATAATGTTTCTCCTTTATGTAATCTTCTTATGGCTGTGTCTCTGGGAGTTTGTTGAGCTCAGATGTCAAAGTTTAGCTCTCAGAACACAATTACGGACTCTAAAAAGATCACTCTCTAGTTTTTACTAGATTGGACAGGTGTACGTACAAATAAAGTTTCAATTAGACTCTCAAGTTTGCTTTAGAGACCCAGGGAGTTTGGTCAGTAATTTACTCCCCATACCTGGGAGAAATGTGTCGGTGTTCTAGATGAAGCATGTAGATTAAATAACTACTGCGACAAGTAATTTATCCCAAACTGTATTCTACAGAAGATAGAACCATGTTTCAGACATATCTATATTTCTAGATTCTTTATATTAGAATAAATTTCAATCCTTCCCATTCCCAATTGGTTCATTTTTTAAAATTTTTTGATCCTTCTCTTGAGATCTCTATCTTCACACCCATTTTCAGAAATACTGCCAATTCTTCTTTTGTTTTCATTTAAAGTCTAGTTAACATACAGTGTAATATAGTTCCGGGTATACTGTATAGTGATTCAATAGGTCCATGCAACACCTGGTGCTCATCACAAGTGCACTCCTTCATCACCATCATCTATGTAACCCATTCCCCACTCACCTCCCTTCTGGCAACCATCAGTTTGTCCCAACTGACTTACTAAAAAAACAAACAAACAAACAAACTTCACATTTCTATCAGTTTGAAGTAATGCATGCTGTGATTTTTGTTCCGTAATTTTTGAAGGTATACTTCTGAATACAGGAAGATTTATATGGAATATACATTTTGACTCCCTCCCCACCCCCACCCCCCCTTCTAAATTAGAATCAAAGAACTGATCTTTTGATAAAGCTCTTAAAGCAAAATGTCTTAATTTGAATTAATTTCTGAATTTGCTGAGGCACTGTACTTCCTAAATTGGCTCTATTTAAATCCTCTTGCCTGCCTGAGGGTATGTTGTTTTATCCTCTTTTAAGCAAGTCACTGACATCATCAGACACTTAAGCACTTCTGCCTGAGGGAAGCTGCTACAACTTTTGCTGGGGTAAATGCGCAAATATTCTCTCCAGTGGTTTAAAGCCAAATCACACAAGCACAAACAATTTGTATTCACTAACATGATCTGAATCGAGGTTACATTTTATGGAACAAAATAACTTTTTTTTTTTTAAAGATTTTATTTATTTATTTGGAACGAAATAACTTTTAAGTGCTCTGGCCATCCACATTGTCCGTCTGGTCTTTATAAACGTCTTTTTTATGCTACGTATCTGTTGAGTATTTTTCTAAAATTATGCACTGGTTTGCTCTTCTCTATCCCCGTATTCATTATAATGATAGGAGCTATGCTCGTTTGAAACACAGTGTTGCACAGAGTGAAGTTACTTTTCTGCTCTATTTAAGATGAAGTTGTAAAAAGTTCAGATTGGGCTGTATGTGAGGAATAAGATGAGAAATGAGCTTAGGGAAGAAACATACCCAAGGAACCAAACATTTAAAGGTTTGGTAAAGGAAGAATAGCTTCCAGAGCTGACTGGGGAGTAGCCAGAGACACGGAAGAAAGATCAGAAGGGTATAGTGTATGGAAGCTAAGTGTAGTCTACTTTTCACGAAAGAAAGTGGTCAGCTCTGAGGCACAGTGCTGATGTACCAAGTAAGATAAAGATAGGAAATAGTTGAGTCGGTGAGAATAGATTTAGAGCACTTTCGGAGCAGAATCCAGAGTGATTCTTTATTCCTTCCTTCAAGGATAATATAATAAAAGAATATATTGAATACCTGTCATATTTGCACTAATGAAGTAGCAGACACAACTCAAAGAGGAGTCTTTATTCATAAGAACTTCGATAAATCGTTTTGGTAAAAAGGGGGACATATACGTAGAAAACATTCTTAGTTATAAGTATAGGTAAATATCCATTCCTGTGTTAAAACATTGGGAGTTCAAAGTAAGAAAATACTATTTCTGTTGGAGTAATGAAGAGGGCTTCCTGGAGGAAGTGAGTCTTGAACATTGAAGGACATGTAAGATTACCATTTTTTCAGAAGGGGTCTCCTTTTGGATATTGTGAAGGGCCTGGAATACACAGGGAAGATGAGTTGGTCTCATAGGTTAGGGAAGCATTGTCTATTTGGAACTAGGTAGGACTTCATAACACGGTATTTGAGGAAGAACCCAATATTGTTATGCAATATAGAATATTTGCCACCCATTAATTTACTCACTAAATATTTACTTACAGACTCCTACATGAAGGCACTGTTATAGAAAGCAAAAACATGGAAAGAAGCAAACTGGGGGCCCTGCCCCTCAAAAGCTCAACAAGCAGGAAAGGCAAACTCATGATTATAATCTGATTCCATAAGTAAAATGATGGGCAAATGACAAGGTGAAATGAGAAAAGAAAGGTGGGGCACCTGTGGGTCTATAATGATACTTAAGGAAGACTTTATAGAGCGATTAATGCCAGCATGAATCTGAAGTATAAGTGGAGTTTATTCAGATGGAGGAGATTATTTATGGTAGAGCATGTGTGGAGCCATAGAGCCAGGAGAGAGCACACTGGGCATGGCAATTTGCAAGAAGCTTAGCATGGCCATAGCAGAGAATATGGTGGAGAAATGGAGTATAGAGAGTTTCCATCAGCAAAGACTTCGTGGGTCAGTTCAAGGACTTTGGATTGCATCCCATAGACAAGTTTACCATGATAAGGTTTTGGTCAGCTTGCAATTTTAGAAAGATTATTCTGGCTACATTGGAGCAGATAGATAGGAACTAGGGACAGATAAATAGGGACTAGGAAATAAAAAAAAGACATAAAACTGGTTAGACAGCTGTTGTGGCATTCCAGGAAGAAAATACTGCAGGAATACAAAAAAAAAAAAAATGAACCTATTACTTTTGTTCTTTTGATATTGTATTTGTGGAATAGATAGCTTGATAGATTTTATATAGCCAGACCCCAGGAATGTTTTTCACATACAGTACAGTACAAAAACCTCTTTATACATTCCCATTAGGATGTAAATTCTATAAGAATGATATCTACCTTGATTACTGAGGTATGTCTAGCACCTGGCTTAATATGGGTACATAGTAGGTTCTCCAATATTTCGAAATAAAATTTTAACACAAATGTGGGAAGTGAAGCAGAAAGCATTCTGGAATGACTCCAGCCTTAATGGCTAGAGTTTGACTCTAGGTTGACTAGGTGGATGATGACACCATTTTCCAAGATTCAGAATGAGAAATATTTGAAGAAGCAGTTTTTTGATACATAAGGTTTACCATGCTTGTGCGGTACTAATGAGATATGTTTCATAGGCATCAGGGATATATGTTTCAGCTCAGAATAAATATTCATACTGAAGAAAAAAACTTGTGAAAGGTTTAGACGTGCAGCTTACATCTGTTGTGGTTGTTAAGATCACTTCAGAAGGATCATAGACTGAGGAGACAAGAGTCAAAATATATCACTCTGTAGAAAAATATCGGCCCATCAAGAACGAGTGGCATAAAAGGAGTTTGCGGAAGAAAAAAAAAATGAAGGAGAAAGTTAAGGCAACTATAAGGAGATGTTTTAGAAGCCAAAGTGTGGGGCATTTCCAAACTGATGTGTAGTTAAATGGAGTAATTCTTAGGTGAAGTGACACAGGTCTAAACCCAGACAATGGTTAGGAGAGTTAATTCTGGGAGTTGGAATTAGAACACATGGCAGAAGAAGGAGCAAAATTAGTGGGGAAGTGGACTGGAGATAGGTATAGAGGCTAGATGGGGAAGCTGAATCATTTTAATTGTGAAGGAGACTGTGTCTGGAATTTTGTTTTAGGGATTCTTCTTGCAATGTAAATTTGTATGCAGAGAGCTCTGGGGTTTCCTGGCTTTGGATCAATTCTTGCTTACCCGAGGCTACCAGGTGAACTTCATACTAAAGGTTTAGCACTCGTCTGTTCAGTTAGCACTACCTTTTGTTGTCCTTAGAAATGTTCCAACACTTCCGTACACATTTATCAAGTGACACTACCGATTTCTTCTTCCAGTATTGTTCAGGCTAGCCCCTGTCATAACTTGGAGGAATATAAAAGCTTAATTATATAGTATCTTTGAAAAACTTAGATTTCTGTGAGTTTCATATCGACCTATTTCACGATTTTATTGTGAATAATATCAGACAAAATGATTATAAAGCATTTAAATCTGAACAGTGAATAGAAATGCTTAGAAAGAATAGCTGAGCTGGGCTATGCCATTTACGATTGCTTATTATCATGCAAATTCACTCACTAGACCGGTGAGTCATATTAGCCAATCTAAAGAATAAATAAATTGCATTGAAAGCGCTTAGGTGATATTTATTTTCTACTAGAAGATGGCCACATTTTTAGAGGACGACTATTAATATTAGAAATCAGAAGAAAGTAGAAATGTTAATTAAAAGCTTAGAAAAGGAGACTCCTGAGGAAGTGTTAAGGAACAAGTTATATAGGAAAAGAAGGGCTAAGAAGACACAAATTTGGATATAAGCATGTTTAAAATTATTAAGTAAGAATAAAAACAAAACTAAATCTAATAGAGGGAAATATGTAACTTAGAAACACTATCATTGATTTTTTCC